CCGTTGAGTGACGCTGCCTGTGTAAATCATATTTACAGTGGTACAATAATTGAATTAGGCGGCCCTAAGCAACGGCGACACGCCCCCTGCATCCACTATTTCTTTTTCGTTCTCACTGACTGCAAATAAAATTTAATTAGGCGCAAATGGCCTTTCGACCTTTTGTACGCAACGCACTTTTTGTGTTCGAGTAAAATTCGCTTCTTCAGCATTCATACTTTTCCTATTGCCTCCCGCTTTAAATTAAAATCAATAATATGTGTTAATACAAACCTGTTATAATAGTGATTCTGTCCCTTGGCATAATTAGCTTTAAATAATTGAGTGTCAGTACTGTAACTTAAAAGCTAAGTTTTATCACATAGTATAGAAAAAAAAATAGTATAGAATGATTAATCTATAGCGGCACTTCACTTGTATAGAAAATATAGTTATATTAGCTTATAAGTGAACTACATATGTTACATTAATAGCACTTTTAAAGTTATTTGTTTAAAAATCGTTTTACAAAGAATCTCTTTTGTATAGTAAATCAATTTTTACCCAAGACACATTAAGTGGTCGCTGCATTAGCTAAAGTCTACAATTTCCCCGAAGGAATTTAATGTACAAATTCTCCAATCATATGGTTCGTGCACAGACTAAACCTGTCACATCTAACAATTTCTTCACAGTGGCAAAACTTACACTGAACCATAGGTGGCGTCTAAATTGTGACTATTATTGAAATTAAAACTACTATGTCCATTTTATCAATATTTTTATACTCTCAGCTCATTGAAAATTACCTGATTTTGCATTTAATTTATATTTATATTTTTAATTAAATTAGAATAGAATAGAATAAGTGCCATATTGACCTCAATGAAATTTGAAAGTAATTGTGCATCTTGAATAAATATCTATTATGGCTTAGCGAACTTGTTTTACTGACCAACAATTATATTATTATTATATATATATATATATATATATATATATATATATATATATATATATATAT